CAACGCAAGTGCCGATAATAAATAAATGATAACGCAAGCGCTAATTATCACAAAACTCGGGGCTAGAGATTAGTAGGGAGATTGCCAGTGCTTATGATAGAGAGAGTGTCGCTTCCTATCCACTGATTTGAGCGCACCGTCGCGGCACACTATTCGAGCTATACGCACGTTTTCAGCAGCGGAGGGAAAGACCAAAATGTGCGTACGATAGGGACCTCATAGTGGAGAAAGGAGTACGTGAGTATACATGGGTATAGCTATACGTGGTTTAGTTGCCTCCTGCCTGAGCTCTCGGATCTCTCGGCTCTTGACTCTCGCTGTTGCTCGCAGCTTTTGCAGGCATGTACATCTATATATGTTCCCGATGCGCTGTGTTCCCCCCAAAAAAAATTTGGTTTGAATGTCGGACAGTTAAGAATGTTATTATGTCCGGTCAAACATTACTTGTAAAATATGTAAGTATCAAATACTCGTACAGCTAAATACCGCTAAATACTGAATTTTTCCACACGCACGCACACACACACACTTACACACGTGCGCGCGAGAGCGTACATGTGTGCACGTGTAAGATTAATTTTGATATGGTATTTAATAATTAAAAATAGTATTTACTGAACGATGTTTTTAACCAGCAAGCGATACATTGTATTTTGCGACATAAGCTATCATGAAGTGCTGTAATTATGTGCATTGATTATTAAAGAAAAATTATTACATATACAAATTGGATCGATCATTTAAATCTCACAGATTTATCGCCTTTATCTAAAAATGAAATTGTAATTAATGCATCTAATATACATCATTATTTTATCAACGACTGCAATAAACAAAAACTTTGAGAATATATTGAGAAGAGAATACGATTATGGGTACAAGAGTATCAAGATATAATCATATTAAAATGTATGCAGTACACTAAGAACTAGTACAGCCGTTCCCGTCCAGCTATACAGCTTTTGTTTTCGTCATAGGCACGTCGAGGTGTTGTTCTTTTGATTGTCTCTACGCGAGGCAGCGCTATTATCAGGCATCAAGCACCAGTCAAGCACGCGATATTCGTCAATGCACGTCTGCTATTGATACATCGTGTTTGCACACCGTAAATCTTACAGTTCTCTTAATAGTTTTTAACTAGTGTTGCGTGTAGTGATTACTTTTTTAGTGTTGTTAGTTCGTTAAATACAATATTTTGCTTTTTCGGTTTTCCTTCATTCGTTGGTATGTTAAGTTAACTACGCAACCATGGCGAATGACAATGTGTATTCGAGATTTCAATACATAAACTGTAATAATGGACCACACAACGGACACTCTTTTCGTCGATTTCCCGCAGGGGAATTAAGACAAACTGAATGGACCACTAACTAAGTTTATAAGTGTCTAGTTACTTACTTTGCAGAAAATTTTGAAGGTTTGTTTGTTGCCCGCGGTAGGTTTAAAATGAATGATTGTGAATGAGTATTTCAATACTATATTTTAGTATTGTGTGAATTTAAAACTGTTGTTGCATCTTTTATCGTTCACTGTAAGGCGCGAAAATTTCATAAGTTTTTTTATTTATAAAAAAATCATGANATAATAATGACACAACAAAAACAGAATATAAGAAAAATAAAGCTAGTATACTGACATAGTATATTGTATAAAAAGACAGGATAAACAAAAACATACGTGTATAATATATAAAGGGAAAAGCGTTAGTTTTCATTAATTCGCGGCCCTCGGACGAGCCGCGAGCGAGCAACAAATCCAACGAAAAGAAAATATGAAATAAGTGATTACTGCGCAACCAACAGATATTCTGACAATTAACCCACTCCCCTGTAGAGAAAGACTATTAATAAAATACGTACAAAAATTCAGTTTTCTAAAATTTTCGCGGCCCGTGGTTGCAGCGCAAAAATATGACTAGAAGAGAAGGATTAATTAGGTTCACGATAAAACTTTTTTTCGCGGCCCTCCAGACGCGCCGCGAACTAGATATTCATATAAGTTGGACTTTGATTTGCAAGCAAAAAAAAACAACTACAATGAAGAGGTACGCATGAACAAAACATTAATAACATTAATCAATAGTAATTTGAAATAACGTGAATGAAAAAAAAGCAAAGCGAACGAGGGGCGCGTGTGGCACTCACCAGTGAGTAGACGTACTCAATGAATGTAGAATTAACCCACCGGCCAAATGTACAAATTATGGATGGTAGAGACAAATAAAAACAAAAAAATATACATATAGGCTGACATATACTTGTAAATTAAAATAATTTTATGCGAGAAGTACACAAAGAAAAGTTAACGTGAAATTAGCAAACGAAAATAAGAGTGAACAAATAACAACTTTCTTTGACACCCGATGACTTTATTATTGAAAAAAAAAAATTTAGCAATTATTTTTAGGTAGAGAAGAGCATGGAGGAATGATAAGAAGTAAATAAAGCAATTGCAGGGAAAGTTAAACTATTTTTTGAAAAGGCCCACAAGCCCACGTCGAGTATGAGAGATTGAACCTGCCCTTCTTCCTTCCTTCTGTCGTTCTCCATACGAAATAATCCCACTCCTACCATCATGATATATTATGCTGATAACCACAACACCTGAAACGTCACACATAATCATCACGAGATATAGAATGGACTGCCATGTGTAAAATAACGAACAGCCCGTTTGTCGGACCGTCCACCTTAAAAGGAATAATCAACCCCACCCAGCGTGTGGCAGTGTTTCCTCAGGACTTGGTCGTCGAAGGATAGTTGAAAAGCCGTCGTGGGATCCTGGAACACCTCCGGGACAACTATACCACGTTACCAGTCCACCCTCGTTCAAACAGTGGCGTCGATACTGGAAAGAAGGCATACAGATCTACAACAACCAAAAAAAAAAGCAAGAATGCTTGTAATTATTAAAGCTTTTACCTACCCAACGACATTGTGCATTAGTGCACGTGGGCTGCTCCTGCAGAATTGCGTGCATGAGGACAGCACACAGAGATTCTCGTGGTGCGAAAAATCATGTTGTCACATGAGCAGTGTCGAAGCTTAGCTCCAGAAACTCAGACAACGGCGCGAACACCTTAGAAAGCGCACTTTCTTCAGAGACCAAAAGAAAAAAAAGAGAAAAAATAGAAGTTTTGTTTTTGAGGGGAAAACAGCGAAAGAGCAACGAACGAAATCAGCAAATGCGTCTACGGCGCGGCGTTAAGAGTAAAAGCAAACAAGAAATGTCCATATAATCCCTATCCTAAACCTCATCATGTTAGGGAAGGGAGAGAGGGATTAGCAGAAAAACATAGTATCAGAAAATGTAAGGATGAAAAACACTAGAAAAATATAAGACACAGCTCTAAACGTAAATGCGGAATGCACTGCCGTAAAATGATTCCTTTTTTATTGCATACCTCCAAGCTCGTCGCTACCAAAATAGAAGTCAAATGTAAGATAACCGATCGTCAAATTATCTGACTATACAGTCTTCTCGAATATGTCACATGACTCCGTAGGCAAGATGGGGCGCACAATATTATAACCGACCATTCACATAATTAGTAACAGGCACATACGCACACGTAGAGCCGATGTGAAATAAGTAATGATAACGACAAAAAAATATTTGCGATAGAAAATTTTGAAACGTACAAAAAGTACTTACATAAATAAAAATAATAAATAGGCAAAAATATTTGTACAAGAAGGAAAGCAAGATAATTAAAAGATACGTTCATTATTACATACTTTATACGTGAGAAGAGAGCCACACTCGCAGCTCAACACTAACCGAATAAAGGGGAAATATAAGAGAAAGGGTAAGGTACATAAGGTAATACACTAAAATAAATAGCTATCGATGGGATATAAATAGTGTTAGGACAAGTATTTACCACAGGTTTAAAGCGCGGGCTCATAGGCAGGAACCAGGGTTGGCAACTAATAGCTAACAGCTTTATATATCACAGGGTAAATAAATTCGGCATGTTTGCCCTTTTTCTTATGTATAAGTGCCTTCTCTATCGGAGGGATCTACTACTAATATGTTATAGAATGTTCACGGGTAAACAAAGAGCTCAAGAAGAAGCACGAGAACTAGCAGTAATCCAAACCACGCCGACAGTAGAACTCGGAGCAGACAGGCGACTGCAACCCTCTATACGAATACTAGAATTGCCGTTGGCCGTGACACAAATTAAAATTCGCCAGACAACGAGTATGAGCACCGGGAGTTGCTCGACTGTATCGGAGGGTGCAGTCCGTAGGACGACACTAAGAAAGAATTTTTCTTTTTCAAAATATGTAATATAGGGGTTTTAAGTTTATAAAAAAAGAAANACAAACTGAATGGACCACTAACATAGGTATTTTAGTATCTAGTTACTCACTATGCAGAAAATTTTGAAGGTTTGTTTGCTGCCTGCGGTAGGTTTACAATGAATGATTGTGTATTAGTATTTCAATACTATAATTAAGTATTATGTGAATTGAAAAGTTGCATCTTTTATCTTTCACTGTTAGACGTGAAAATATAACAAGTTTTGCTTTGTTTATAAAAAAATCATGAGCGCTGCCCGTAAGCTGAAAAACAAAAGCTTGGCTGTTGTCTCTCCTCTTACCTCTCTCTCCGTACCACTACATATGTGGCGACTCAGCCGACACGCCTGGCACCATCTGGCAGGCGCAAGCAACAACTCGTTCCTCGCAAGCTCTACTAACTCGCCATCTGCAGCGGATGCGCACGCAGCGCGCACAGCGTTCTCTCTCTTCCACTCGCGGGCCGGAGGCCGCCTCAGCTGTGGCACGGCGCAGGCCGAAGGAGAAGTGCGCCCGACCATCAGAGTTTCCTCTCCGTCTGCTCAAGACGCACGCAACAAATGGAAAGGACAGTGCATAGTGTGCGTTTCTTTGTGCTGAAATTTTTCTCGAGCACGTGCTCGTGCAGTGCGGCGCCCATGAACGATCGCGTGACACACATACGCGCGCACGCTCGCATTTCCCTTGCGCCGCATGTCCAGCAGGGGCCGAGGCTTCTCGTCGGGCAGTGAGGGCACGCCACGTGCCTCGGATCGGCAAGCAGGCAGGTCAGCGACAACGCTGCAGGAGTCTGCCACTGCCCTTGCAGCGGCTGAGTTGCGGCGCACCGCGCCACCCGCCCCCAACGCGCTGCAGGCTGAGGAGCCGAACAAGCGCGCGCCCACCGACACACATAAGCCAGCGAGCCCTGAGCCGCGCACGGAGCAAGGCGAGCACTGGGAGGACGCTGGGGAGAATCCGGCAGCAGTCATGGCAGCAAACCCCAGCAACATGCTGCAACGCTTTTGGCGCGACGAGCCGGAGCTCTGGTTCATGCAGGCCGAGGAAATCTTCAGCGCCAACAAAGTGACAGATGATGCACTCAAGTATAGTGCAGTCTACAGTGCCCTGGACAAAGAGACACTTAGAGACCTCGTGGACCTGCTCAAAAACAAGCCGGAGACAGACAGGTATGATTTTCTAAAAGCAGCTCTGATGAAGCGTTTGGCAGAATCCAAGGAGGTGGCCCCGAGGCGCCTATTCACCAACGTGGAGTTGGGAGACAGCACGCCTTCGCAGCTCTGGCGCAAGATGAAGGCGCTGGCCGGAGAGGCGGACGACGGCTTGGTTAAAGCGCTGTGGCTTTCCAAGTTACCGTGCCACGCGCAGACACTCCTGCAGGCCTTCAAGTCTGCAACCACTCCTATGGAGGAGCTGACAGAGGCAGCAGACAGCCTAGTCAGCTCTGCTGCGCAGATCAACGCTGTCTCGTCCAATGATGCCATTGCCCGTCAGCTGCAGCAGAACAACGTGCTGATGTCGCAGATGTTAACGGCACCTAAGGCTTGTCTGCCGAGGACGAACAATAACAACAACAACAACAATTCGAGCGCAAGCCGTTGCAACAACCGTGCGCGCAGCAGGAGCCGCAGCCGAACTCGACAACAGGAGGTCAACAAGGACTACTGCTGGTACCACAACAAATTTGGCAGCAAGGCTCGTAGCTGTCAGGCGCCCTGCTCCTTTCCCCAGGAAAACTAGTCACGCCGGCCTCGATGCAGGTGGCTGAGACCGGCAACCATCCTCAGGAGCATCGCCTGCACATCCTCGACACTCGTTCCAAAACATCCTTTCTGATTGACACGGGATCAATAGTCTCGCTGCTGCCCAAGGCTCAAGCCAAAGGTAAGCTCACGCAGCAAGCGCTTACTCTTCCAGCTGCCAATCAGACCGACATCCACACCTACGGAGCACGAAAAATGCTGCTGAATCTGGGCCTGCGACGCGACTTCGAGTGCGACGTTATCGTCGCTGATGTCCCGCACGCCATCCTCGGTGCGGACTTCCTGGCCAGACACGGGCTACTGTCGGACCTGCAGAAGAGACGGCTAATCGACCAACTCACAGGTCTCTCAGCGCCTGGCCACCTGGCCATGGTGGGGGTCTTCTCAGTCTCCACCATCATTCCAGCCCGAGGAAGCGACTGCCCTTATGCCCAGCAGTACACGCAGCTGCTCCAGGACTTCAAGGACGTGTTCGAGCCCAGCTCCACGCCTACAGGGTTCCGGACCTACCGGTCAGGCACACCATCACCACCACGGGACCCACAGTTTCAGAGCGCCCAAGGCGCCTTGCAGGGGAAAAGCTTGCAGCGGCCAAGAGAGCGTTTGCCAAGCTCCTGGACAGAGGGATCATTCGACCATCCAGCAGCCAGTGGGCCAGCCCACTCCATATGGTGCCCAAGAAGGATGGCTCCTGGCGTGTCACGGGTGATTACAGGCGTCTCAATGCCTGCACCATCCTGGACCGCTACCCCCTGCCCATGATCGAGGATCTGCTCCAGGAGAGCAGAGGCAACATCTTCTCCGCGGTGGACCTCCAGAAGGCATTCTATCAGATTCCGATCGCCGAGGAGGACGTGGAAAAGACTGCAGTCACCACGCCCTTTGGTCTTTATGAATTTCTAGGTACGTCTCTGGAGCTCGGCAACGCCACGCAGTCGGCTCAGAGGACCATGGACCATATCCTTTGGAAGCTGCCCTTTGTAAAGGGGTACGTGGACGATCTGTTGATCATCTCGCAGAGCCATGAGGACCACCTTCGCCACCTGCGTCAGCTCCTGGAAACCCTGCGAGAAGCCAAGCTGAAGATCAACGCTGAAAAATGCACCATTGGCCAGCCACAGGCACTCTTCCTGGGTTACCTGGTCTCCCGAGATGGCTTCCAACCTCCAACGGCCAAGGTCGAGGCAATCAAGAGCTTTGCCAGGCCCAACACCGCCACGGAACTACGCCGTTTTCTCGGGATGGCCAACTACTATCGACGCTGCATTCCATCTGCAGCCCAGACTCAGGCGCCACTGCATGAGCTGCTCAAGGGCCTTCCCAAAAAGGCACAACTCGCGTGGACGCCGCAGGCGGACTTGGCATTTTGTCAATGCCGTAACAGCATCGCCGAGGCGGCTTGCACCGCCTTTCTTCGACCCAATGCGCCGTTGGCCATCAGAACCGACGCTTCGGATGTGGCGATTGGAGCGGTGCTGGAGCAGCAGCGCCCGGATGCCTTCTGGGAACCTCTGGGATTCTTCTCCCAGAAGCTCACGAGTGCTCAGGGCAAATACAGCACTCATGACAGGGAGATGCTGGCAGTGCATGAGGCAATCAAGCACTTTGAGCGCATTCTCGAGGGACGGACTTTCGTCATCTACACGGACCACCGTCCACTCGTCCATTCGGCTCACCAGCGCTCGGACAGAGCGTCACCTCGTCAAGCTCGTTACCTGGAGTACATCCTGCGCTTCAACGCCAAGTTTCAGAACACACGTGGCCGTGACAACCTTGTCGCGGACGCGCTCTCCAGGATGCTCATCGCCCAAACGGTTCCGGAGCAACATCACCAGGACTCCAAGCCAACGTCGACGACCACCACCACCCATGTGTCAAAAGCCCACGTCGCGCCCGCAGAGGACTTCACGGCTGCCAACGACCCCAAGGTCGACACAGCCACCATCACGATGCCTGCCGCTCTGGACACACGCGCCATCGCAGAGGCCCAGGCTGCTGACGAGCAGCTACCAAGCCTTCTCGACGATCAGGGTGCTCTTCAGTTGTTGCAAGTTCAAAAAGATGGTGCCAGTCTCTACTGCGACGTCTCCACCGGAGAAGTGCGGCCCTACCTACCAGCCTCGCTGCGACGTCAGGCCTTCGACATCATCCACGGTCTGGCCCACCCCAGAGCCAAGGCCACTACCAAGGCCCTCACTAGGCATTACATTTGGCCGGGAGCCCGCAAAGACGTAGCGCTCTGGGCTAAGCACTGCGAGGCCTGCCAACGCTCCAAGGTCTCGCGCCACAACCGAGAGGCATTGGGGCGTTTCAGTGAACCGGACAACCGCTTTGAGCACATTCACGTGGATCTTATCAAGCTGCCCTTGGTCCAGGGGATGCAGTGCTGTCTAACCATCATCGACAGGTTCTCCCGCTGGCCCATGGCAGCTCCATTGCCAAACATACAGGCATCCACAGTTGCCAAAGCGCTCAACGACAACTGGATCAGTCTCTTCGGCACTCCCTTGCGGATAAAGTCGGATAGAGGTTCGCAGTTTGAGTCGGCGCTGTTCGTCGAGCTGGCGCGCGCCCTAGGAGCCTAGCTCTGCCATACGACTTCATACCATCCGCAGTCAAATGGCATGGTGGAACGCCTCCGCCGCACCCTTAAGGTGGCGCTCAGATGCTGCCCGCAGTCCTGGGTTGACGCGCTGCCCATGGTGCTGCTCGGATTGCGCTCGGCCTACAAGGAGGATCTCGAGGCCTCGCCCGCGGAGATGGTGTTTGGTACCGCGCTCCGTCTTCCGGGCCAGTTCTTCGTTACATCCTCAGTCCAAGCCAACCACATCAACTTTGTCCACAGTCTCAAACAGCTGTTCCTGTCACTCAGACCGGTGCCAGCTTCGAGACACAGCAACAACCATCCTTTCAGTTACAGGGACTTGCGAACTTGCTCGCACGTTTTTCTGCGCATTGACAGCATTCGCAGGCCACTGGAGCCACCGTACTCGGGACCACACAGGGTGCTCGAACGCACAGGGCACCGCACCTTTGTCATCGAGCGCGCTGGGGCTCCCAAGGAGGTTTCTGTGGACCAGCTCAAACCAGCCTACCTGGAGGCTGAGGCACGCAATGGCCCCGCAGACGACTACATCGCTGAGTCTCCGCCGCTCACATCTCCGACAGCTGCCCCCCAGGTCGAAACTCAGGCCACACAGCCTGAGCCAACTCCAGCTGCTCAGAAAGCTTGGCGACATGACTCGTTTCCAGCTGTAACCAAGCTGGTCACTGGAGGGGAAGTGGATGTGGCGACTCAGCCGACACGCCTGGCGCCATCTGGCAGGCGCAAGCAACAGCTCATTCCTCGCGAGCTCTACTAACTCGCCATCTGTAGCGGATGCGCACGCAGCGCGCACAGCGTTCTCTCTCTTCCAATTGCGGGCCGGAGGCCGCCTCAGCTGTGGCACGGCGCAGGCCGAAGGAGAAGTGCGCGCGACCATCAGAGTTTCCTCTCCGTCTGCTCAAGACGCACGCAACGCTGCCGAGACCAAGAAGCCGCATGGCTGACTTAAGCAGCCATGCGAGCCGGCATACAGACTTTGCAAATCCTTTTCCATCAGAATTTACTTTATATTATTTTGTACTAAGATTAGTTGTTCCGTGATATTAAAGAGTTCATGAACATTAAACTGTTAGTATTTTCTCTGCACGCACTTTCCCTTTGGCGGCAACGCCGAACCATCGCAACAAGATCCAAACATATGCGGTCTAATCTGACCGTGCGTTCTATCTCTTTCACTCTCACGGCATCTTACGTAAATACCTGTTTTTAATCAAAGTTTAAAGAGATATTAATCTGAAAACGTTTTTAATTATTTGAGGGATGTTTGCTGCTAAAGAAACAGTATAATTCTGACCATTAAAAAATATTTTTTTAGTTTAACATGAAAAAAAGGGGTTTAAATAGCATTACTCGTCTTTCGCTCGTAAATTTACAGTTTGTACGACACCTAGAATCAATATGTGAAGTTTTTCGTTTTTTACCCACTGAGCTACGTGAACGCCGCTGCGTGGGATCCTTAGTTGAAAAATTAATTAATTGTAAACAAATTACTGGAGAATGTCTGGAAAAATGTAGTCTGAGGTAATTATTCCTCAGCTTTACGATGAAGCTATTTACTTTTACGTACGTCTTCTCTGAGAAGCCAAAAAATGCCTTTTTCAAAAACGTTTTTAAAAAATCAAGCTTCCCAGAGCTTTTATCAATATTTGCTTACTTTTCTATACTGCTGCGTTAGTTTTAGCCTTTTACCAGTATTAAGCATCAATTTACAGGAGACGTTATCGCCAAAAATTGTGTTTTTAATGCTTCTTGCACATTGATTGTACTTATATCATAATATATTTAGTATTTATGATTTTCGATGGGTTGGGTGTAAAGAAGTCGTTGTAGTCAAATACGTTTAAGGTGTCTTATGTACAGCATTACAATAACGAGAAATATAGTTTTCAAATTTGACATTAATCATATAATCGGCGTTTTTTTATGCGTGCTGTGGTTTATAACAATCAGAGTAGGGACCTTCCCCTTCGTCTGAATAATTATCAAGCTCCGTATTATAACTCATCATTGGTTTAACACTGTTGATGACTTTTTGCATGGTGTTCTCAGCTTCATCATAACTCGGTACGTCGACGTCCATTTATACTCATAGGACAATGCTCTTACTGTAGTTAGCATTGAAAATATACCCGTAAACAGTGCTGGGCGGCAGCTTCTTCGATAGGTAAGAGTGTAGCCAAGTTGCTTTATTTTCGCACAGTATGCGGAACAAACTGTTTGCTTCCTTGCCACTGCGAAAATAGAGCAACTGAAAAAAAATTTCGGGATTCTATGTAGAATTACTTCTGTAATACTTTAGGGAAATCCATATGGTATTACACATGGTTTTACATGTGGCATTACATAAAGGGTTTTAGCTTGGTGATGCCATATGTAATTTCATATGGAAAAACACATTGAATTACTAATTGGAAAAAAAAAAATTTTCTATCATCTAGAAATAACTGCAAAATACCATAATAAATTATTTGCAGTTAGCAATTTGTCTTACCATTGGGATGATAACTCCAAAACAAGGGGTTTAGCTGATTTTACTTCTGTAGAAAAAAATTTTATTTTTTTATTTTTTTTTTTTTATTCCTGAAATATAACTTGAATCCTCTTGTTATCGAGTTATCATCCTGATGGTAACACTAATTGTTCACAGTCAATGACGCATTACAGTATTCTGCAGTTATTTCTAGATGACAAAATTTTTTTCCTTCTTCCAATTTGTAATTCTATGTGTTTTTTCAAATGGAATTACATATGGCATTACCAAGCTAAAACCCCTTATGTAATGCCATACGTAAAACCATATGTAATGCCACATGGCTTTCCTGAAGGTATTACAGAAGTAATCACACATAGAATTCCGTCTTTCTTTTTCAGGTGGGTGCACTTCATCGTTTTTAGTTTTTTTTTTATACATTGTACACATATATTTTATGCTGATATTTTTTTATATTGATGCTCACTACTGGTAATGGACTAAAACTGACACAACAGTCTAGAAAAGTAATTGTTAACTAATCTATTGTTAACATCTCTAGGGAGCTTGATTTTTGGTAAGTGTTTTTGAAAATATGTATTTTTCGGCATTTCAGAGACGACGTACGTCAAAATAAATAGCACCACCGTAAAGCTAAGAAAAATTACCTACGAATACATTTTTCTAGACATTCGTCAGTGGTTATGTTTATGATCAATTAATTTTACAACTAAGAATCTTACACAGTGGCGTAGCATTTACATAGTGGAGTGGGAGCTTAGGGTCGGCTAGGGCGCCATTGGTACGCTCGGAGCGCTTGGCTTGTAGCAGGCGGTGGTGGCAATTAATCTTTTGTTTAAGGCAAAGGAGTTGATAAAATAAATCGAGAAAAAAATTTCTTTGAAAAAAATAATATTCAAGAAGGGAATGGGTACGGTCCAAAGTCAAAATAATAATTAGGGCAAACGCTACAGCGAAAAAATGGAAATGCCGTATCTTGGCTCCTATTTATCCCACAGAAAATATTTTTTTTTCAATTCATTAAAAAATAAAAGCAACAACGTGCAGTTGATTGCAAAACTCTAGTATCAAATTTTACGAAAATAAGAGGCATAACAATGAGTTTCTTAACAACTTTTTTTATTTATTATCTTAAAAATGTAAGATTAGGAGCTATTAAAAGTATTTTCTATACCTATTGATTCCATTAAGTTTCATTGTAATATTTTTGGCAAGGCAAAAATTATAAACAAATCCAATTTCAAATTAATAATTTTGCAATGGGTTGCCAGTAGTAAATTTTTCAATCGGACTTACTGCATAGTGTTCAGTATACCAAAAAGTACAATATACTCGATGGTCATTCAATTTCGAGCACTGCACGTACTTTTTTTTGGCATTTTTGGTTTTTTTCCTTTGCATATTTAAATGCAATAGGCACCACTGTAACTCAATTTATATTATATTACCTTGTAAGATCTACCGTTAACTAAGATACCACCTCATAAACTCTTTTTAACCACAGTCACGTCAAATTTTTGGTGTAAAAGCATCTTGCATTAGTAAGATGTCAATATGTATGGGTAATTCTGCCGTAACTTGCTCAGATTGTGTCCGGTCCTTGCACTCGCATGCCATGGTGAAATCCAAAACTTTAAAAACGTTAAATTGTGTTAAATGTTGTCAACTTCACTTGACATATTGTCTAATACCCATATTTTAATTTCTTCAATGAGATAATCGATCATTTAGGGTCGAATTTTCCATTCTAACCCATGTCCACAACTCAATTTCACTCTTAAACGTTTTCACCGGTAAAAAAATAAGGCTTATCTGCCACTTGGATGTGTAAGCATTATATACTTAAGCTATTGAGGATAGGACTTGTATCTTAGTCTCACCAAAAATTGACAGACGAGTGAGTTTTCACTGCATACATTTTGTCCGCTTATTTACACTATAATTACGGTTCTAACAAAAATCACTTCAAACTAGTAACTTTTTGGATTAGAAATGCTATCCAATGGTCACTTTTCAAAGTATAGAGCTAAAATTAACAAATCGACACGACAGTAGTACCAGAAGTTGTTCTGTCTCGAATAGCCAAGCTCTTCTATTTGCGTATTTCGTGCGTACAAACATTTTTTTCCATTCCGACCCCCCCGTGGAACAACCACTTGGTGTACGTGTGTAGGTACACAAACTACAATTTTTTTATATCATTTGAGGCTAGTAAATTAAGTATGAGTGGACAAGTCATTGTAATACATCTATGAGTCATACGAGCACTATAAACTTTGAAAATTCAATTCCGAACTTTTCTATTCCGATCGTATCTCACCTCAAAGAGCCGTTTTTTTCGTTTTAGAGCAATCAATCCCTGCCAAACATTTTTTTCATCACTGTTGTGCTAAAATATGAGACACGTGTCTCGGGGTTTTGTCCAATTGGCCTCTTTACGCTACATAAATGCAAAAACGGTGGTGCTACTTCCAACGTTGGTAGCCAAGTGGTGCACTCCATTAGGTGGCTTTATCTGGGCCTAAATGAAAGAAAAAACATAGTCGTACTGATTAAAATACAAATCTTGGAATTTTATGCCCCGAATGAAAAGTTATAGTTATTTTATAAAAAATACTGAATTTTAGCCAAAATCACATTATTAGCGATATTTCCGCTCTAATTGAAACAGCTGTAACTTTTGAATAGAGGCACAAAATCGAACAACTTTTGACTACTTAATCTTATAGTTGCATCCCTTTAGATATTTGTTACTGATGTTGTGTACAGTAGAAATACCATGAAAAACTTTTTTTTAACCAACTTTTTTTCAAATAATATTTTAGTCGATCTGAGAAAGTTACGACAGACCCACACATATATATATATGTTTATACATAGTGACTTATGCGGACTTTACGTGCTTCTAACATATATATTAATAACATGGTAGAATTATGCGTACGTCCAAATAATTCCACTTTTGTCCTCATAGTAACCCTTATATACATGTGATTGTCCACATAAGTCACAATTTATAAACATATACTTATACATACACATATATATACACATATTACTACACATTAAAAAAACCACACAGGCTACAATTACTATACATTAAAAATAGGTGACAAAATCAAACATTGGTCAGCATCATCCAAGTGGTCAGCTGGAATATGTAATGGACATTTTAACGATGCTGATTTCGTAAAAAATGATCAAGGCCAAATTATACGCTTGCTACAAAATTCAAATCCAGTTCACTAGCAGGCACCTGAAGCGAA